GGATCAGCAGCCTCACCTGTCCCGGGGACAGTCTCTACAGGATACCTAACAATCCGGGATAGCAGCGGGAAATGGCACTGGAATAAGGGAATTTCCCGCAAAAAAAGGGAAGGTTGACAGCTATGCCTGCAGCCCGAATGGGTAGCTGGAGGAGGCAGTCCAGTTCCCAGCTCTGCTGGTTGGGATCATGCAATCACTTAGCTCCAGCAACCGACCTTTCCAAACCCTCCAACATTTCTCTGATGAAAATAGGGACATCCCATTCCATAAATATAATTTTCCTATTTATACACCACACATCTTATTACGTTGCCCCAGCCACTCTGGGAAGTTTCCAACATATATAAAAAACATAATAAAACATTAAACATTAAAAAACGTTCCTATAGAGGATTGCCTTCAGAGAGCCGGGGGTTGGATAACTCCATTCCCTCCAACATTTCTTCAATGAAAATAGGGACACCCTAAGGAAAAGCGTGACATTCTGGGATCAAATCAGAAACCAGGACGGCTTCTCTAATTCTAAACAGTGGCACTTTCTCTTTCCCTGCTTTTTCATTCGCTGCCTCTGGTCTCCTGCATCCATTTAGCAGAGGAGGTGGTGGTTTTGGCCTTATACTTCTCTACCCCCCCACCCCACCCCCATATAACCAAAAAACACCAGGAGACACACACACACCCATTTTTGGAGTGAGGACCAAAAAATAATAATCGTTTTATTATTTTATTACTTATTTTTGCAGTTCAATCTACCGTATCTATAAATTTTATAGGTTTATAGCCAATGGCCAGCCACAATACAATACGAGTACAAAATCACACAGCTGCAAAACAAAAGACATTGCATGCACCCGGATCAGGATAAAACTATAGTGTCCAACATTTATTCTCACATTTGTTTCAATGGAAGGATATAGGGCAGCAGAGTCCAGGTGGTGGGGTCCAGAGTGGAGTTCCTATCATTCCTTGACTGTCTGCCCTGCTGGCTGAAAGCTTGATGGGAACTGGGACAACCAACATCTGGGGACACCTCAATGGTCATTCTGTGATATTACAGAATCTACAAAGGATTAAGGCACTGATCCAGAAGACAATGAACTGAGAAGAGGCCCCACTGAATTATCTTGGAGGAACTGTAACTGTAGTTTGTTAGTGTGATCTGTCTGAAGTGAAACAGATCACTATAATAATAATAATATTATTTATACCCCCACCCATCTGGCTGAGTTTATCCAGCCACTCTGGGCGGCTCCCAATCAAGTGTTAAAAACAGTACAGCTTTAAATATTAAAAACTTCTCTAAACAGGGCTGCGTGTTTGAATAAGCAGAAGATTGTACAGTGGTACCTCGTGTTACATACACTTCAGGTTACAGACTCCTCTTCTATTCTTCTCAGTTATATGATTATGAAAGTAAAGCTCTTTTGAATAGCAAGAGTCTGGCCACTGTATAGTCTGTAAAAAGGAACTATCAACTAGAATAGCTATTTGGCTTCCTAACTATAAGCTACTCTGTTACTTTGGATAACATAAAAATTCAGAGACAGACAGACTTTAATGTTGTATACAGTGTAAGGCTGGGGAATTGAGAGGTGGGGAGAGCAAGCGGGGGGGGGGGTAGAATACACTTTCATTATTTTACAAAGTTCATATGCAAGGTGTTTGTGTCAGTGTGACATGGGTAGCTTCTCTTCCTATTCATTTATTAGTTTTCATTGGCAGTGAGAAAGATTGGGGGGCCCAGGGCACAGTTGGTTGCCTTCAGTTGACTGCAGTAAAGGTGGTGGAGGCTGAACCATTTTGAGGACGTGAGTTGCAATTTGAAGAAGACATGAGTTGCAATTTGACATCATCTGGAGGGGCCACAGGTTACCCAACAGGTCCGTTTTCAGCGCCTTGACCTTCTCCTGGCGCAGCTGCCCTTGGAACTCCTCGTACTGAATGTGCTTCGTCCTGGAGTGCCTCTGCAGGTGGGCCTTCTTCAGGACGGAGAGGGCCTCACCACAAATGAGACACACGGGCATGCCTTTCAGCTCCACAAAGAATTTGTCGTGTGTCCACCTTTTTTGAAAATGCGGCACTCCAAATCTATCTTCCTCTTCTTGTGGAAACATTGATTGAAACAGAGAATTAGGCAGACGGAGTTGTTCAAATATGGGAATCCTATGCTGCCTATAGCCAGCCCTGGTCAGTAATGTGTCTGCAGCTCTTTGAGCCATTGAACTTTCTGAGCGCTTTTCAAAGGCAGCCCCAAGAAGAGTGTGTTAAACTAACTCCTACGCAATGTGGCACCAGACTGCTTTCTTTTTTTGTAATTATCTGTTTGTTTTAAATTCTGTAGCTTAAATTCTCTTGATGCTTCTTTTTTTGAGAAGGGCCTCTTACAGTCACAAAGCAATGATTTTCAGTGCAGCTCCATAACACTGATTGTGCCCTCACACTGCCCCTTTTTGTGTGGGGATTTGGATCCAGAAAAGGAGCAGACGGGGAAAGGTTAAGCAGAATCCCACCCACCCCCTGCGCCACCCTTAGGTGTGCTCAGTCTTCGCCTGCTTCATGACTCCAGCTTCCACGAGAAGGCAGGATAGAGCTGCAGAAAACAGGAAGTGGTCCTTCAACCAGCCAGGACATCTCACCATCACAGACAGATCCAGTCTCCTGCTATGGAGTAAGGAGTGGCCCAGGGATGGCAGAGAGAGGAGGGGAAGGGGCCAGGGACAGAAGGAATGGCAGGGCTCCAGATGCTCCCTTGGACCCTTCCCCTGACACCAAGGGGAGCTCCTCTTCTGGGGCTGAAAGCATTAGGGTGTTTTGATTTTATCAGTATTGCAAGGAAGCATAGAAGGAAAGGTAAAAAACACCTATGCGGTTTATTAAAGTTTATTAAAGTATCTGTGGTTTTCCCCCTGTGTGAGTTCGTTGATGTATTCTAAGTGCTCCAGATTGACGGTAGCTGTTTCCACATTCCGTACATTTAAATGGTTTCTCCCCTGTATGAGTTCGTTGGTGTATTCTAAGATGTCCACTTTCACTGAAACACTTTCCACATTCCATACATTTAAATGGTTTCTCCCCTGTGTGAGTTCGTTGGTGTATTCTAAGTGATCCACTATAACTAAAGCTCTTTCCACATTCAATACATTTAAATGGTTTCTCCCCTGTGTGAGTTCGCTGATGTCTTCTAAGTGCTCCATTTTGACTGAAGCTCTTTCCACAATCCACACATTCAAATGGTTTCTCCCCCGTGTGAGTTTGTTGGTGTCTTCTAAGTGCTCCATTTTGACTGTAGCTCTTTCCACAATCCATACATTGAAATGGTTTCTCCCCTGTGTGAGTTCGTTGGTGTATTCTAAGTGATCCACTTTCACTGAAACTCTTTCCACATTCAATACATTTAAATGGTCTCTCCCCTGTATGAATCCGTTGGTGTGTTCTAAGGTGTCCACTTTTGCTGAAACTCTTTCCACATTCAATACATTTAAATGGTTTCTCCCCGGTGTGAGTTCGTTGATGTATTCTAAGGTATCCATTTTGACTGTAGCTCTTTCCACATTCAATACATTTATATGGTTTCTCCCCTGTGTGAGTTTGTTGGTGTACTCTAAGTACTCCACTTTTGCTGAAACTCTTTCCACATTCAATACATTTAAATGGTTTCTCCCCCGTGTGAATTCGTTGATGTATTCTAAGGTATCCATTTTGACTGTAGCTCTTTCCACATTCAATACATTTATATGGTTTTTCCCCTGTGTGAGTTCGTTGGTGTATTCTAAGTGATCCACTATCACTGAAGCTCTTTCCACATACAGTACATTTAAATGGTTTCTCCCCCGTGTGAGTTCGTTGGTGTCTTCTAAGTTTTCCACTTTCACTGAAGCTCTTTCCACATTCAAAACATTCAAATAGTTTCTCTCCTTTGTGAGTTTGTTGTTGTATCCTCAGTTTCTTTGTTCTTCCCAATGAATTGACAGGTGGCTCCATAGAATTCTGACCTTCATCTTCCTCACCTGTTTGGGAGTCTGGGAGGAAAGAGAATCCTGTTAGACTTTCAAGAAAGACAAAAAGGGAACTGCACACATGTCAATCCCAGTCTGCACCTTCTCTCATTTTAACACTGTCTCCATTCTCCACTATCCTCTCTAGGTTCCAAATTTTACGAAGCTGATGAGATAGTGGCAAGAGCAACACATGATCACTCCATTCAAACTTAATAAAGCACCATCATTTTATAATACAGATCTATGGTGGAATTGGCTTATTAAACACATCTCTGTATTTTTCTTTTTCAAGTGAGGAAATGATCTCAGGCTCAAGTAACAGTATTTCCCTTGTGAAATAAATAAAACTTAAGTGCTACATGTAACTGTAGAAATATTGCAATATATTGGAACCTAAGAAGAGCCTGCTGGATCAGGCAAAGGCCCACCTAGTCCAGCATCCTCTTCTCACAGAGGCCAACCAGATGCCTGTGGGAAACCGGCAAGCAGGATTGGAGCACAAGAGTCTTCTCTGCCTTCCTGTGCTTTCCAGACACTAGTATCAAGAAGGATTATTGCCTAGGACCGAGAGGGCAGAGCAGAGACGTCAGTCTTATCCTTTTTTTCAAGCTATCCAAGTTGCTGGCTGTCCACTGTGTCCTGTAGGATGGATTCCATAGATGAACTATGCTTCTGTTGATTCATCTTTGCAGCCCTTAAAAGCTGATAAATGTATTATGGCCTAAGCTTTTGTGGGCTGCAGTCCTGACAAAGTGGACTCTTGACCAGGAAAGCTGGTGCCACTATAAACTTCTGAGTCTCTTTGTTGGTTTTGTGTACTTATTTTCAAATTTGCACCAAGGTTGTACCACAGTATCTCCATGGAGGCTTAGGCACGGACAAAATTACAGGGTGTCAGCTCCGTGAATCTGAAGCCTCTTGTGCCTCCGCTGACAGAGCCTGAGAACGCAATAGATGTGATTCAGTTGGAATGTGAAGCAGGGGAGGAGCAGCCAAGCTGCAGCAGGAGCAAAGAACAAAGAAGAGGAAGGGGGGGTGCCGGGGCGGGGCACAGACTGTTATCTCCAGTTTGAGCTCTGACACAGGGACCCCAGAAATAGCCTGTCCAAAAACTCTTAGGCTCGAGAGAATCTGCGAGAAGAGGGGAAAAGAGAGCGAAAGTGGGGGCTTCTTTGCTGGAGGACTCGGCAACTGCAAGCTGGGTTGAACAGGCCGAAGACTGAGCTCCACAGTGATTTATGAGTTTGAGATAATTACTACTGGAGTTGTCTCACGTGTGTGCGGGAGAACCAAGCCTTTACACAGTGGCGCTATAAATTATTATCCCACTCACTGACTCTCAACAACCCCAGTCTGTAAGATTTACACAATTTGCTTATAATACCAGACACTCTTGGACTTAATATACCCAATCCTAAGTGTAGAGCCTCCAGCCACAGGAATTGTGTATCATGATAACTGGTCCTTTGTCCCTTAAGCCCACCAAACTGGGGAGCTGCATGCATTTATTGTGTTTTGATGCTGGTGGAATGTATCATTCTGACCCTGTCTATAAACAATAAGAGTAATAGAAACAATTTATGTACATTAATTATAAATAATTATGGGAAACATTTCCATTCCCCTTCACCCATTGTTCAGGATTGGTGTGCAACATCATTATCATCAATTATTCCTGCCGTGGAAATAACACCTAAGATTTCAAAGCCTGGAGGAAGAAAATCTGCCCCCACTACTTTAGGAAAAGGATTCAAGAAACAAAGAGCTGCTTTGCAGAAGGCCTCATCCCTTCCTTCTTCCTGTCAGGAACTTCCTTCCATTTGTCTCCTCTCCATCTTTTCCTCTTTCTCCCTCCACCTTCCATCTATCCCTGTCCCCATCTCCTCTTCCCTGGAACTCACCAGATTTCTCCAAGGGTCCTGGGAGGTAATGCTCAGAGGTTGTGGGGAGGGATGCGGGAGACAGCCTGACGAGGTCAACCGTCCATCTTCCTCCTTCCATCCTGGCCAGGGTTGCAGGTTCAGTCTCAGCTAGGTTTGAAGGTTCAGCTTCCTGAGGAGCGCAGAATCCAGAGCAAGTTGCAGCTTCCTGGGAGGGAGGGAAGAAGAAGCCAAGGGAGTCTGAGAGCCCCTGCAGGGATTCTCCTGCCCAAGACATTCTGCTGCCCCTGGAGAAGCCCCAATTGGGCACCCCCTTCCCAAGGGACCCCACGCATTTTCAAACACCTTTGGCAATTCCTTTCACCTGCCTGTCCCACCTCCCTTCCTGTGAGTAGATCTCAAGAGTTGTTTACACCACGTGATCCCTTAAAGAGGGCAATTCTTTAAAACTGAAGGCCATTTCTACAAAATGGAAGACTTCCAAAAACAGCCTTTTACAAGGAAAGTTTTGATGGTTTTTATTTTGTTGGAAGCTACCCAGATGGGCAGAGGCAACCCAGTCAGATAGGCAGGATGCAAATAATAATAATAATAATAATAATAATAATAATAATAATAATAATTGCTTCCTGTCCTGGGACGCCGGTGGCGCTGTGGGTTAAACCATAGAGCCTAGGACTTGCCGATAAGAAGGTACATGACCCCAGTCAAGCTTGCAAAAATATATCATTTGCCCGATAACAAATGTTGGAAATGCAAAGAGATTGAAGGTACATTCTTTCACCTTTGGTGGACGTGCCCAAGGATCAAGGCCTTCTGGGAAATGATATATAACGAACTGAAAAAGGTATTTAAATATACTTTCCCGAAGAAACCAGAGGCCTTCCTCCTGGGCATAGTGGACCAATCGGTGCTAAAGAAGGATAGAATTTTTTTTATGTATGCAACGACAGCAGCAAGAATACTCATCGCAAAGCATTGGAAGACCCAAGACTTGCCCACCTTGGAAGATTGGCAGATGCAACTAATGGACTACATGGAGATGGCGGAAATGACTGGCAGAATCCGAGACCTGGGAGAAGGGACAGTGGAAGAGGATTTGTAAAAATTTAAGGACTATTTACAAAAATATTGTAAGCTGCATGAATGAATGCTAAGAAGATGCAGGATAGAAAACAACATGGCAGCAGTAACCTAGCTGAAAGAAATTAGAGAATAAGTGATGTTTAAGAACAAAGATATATTTTATGTCTAAATTAACTACTTAAGTATTTGATTAAAACATTTAAAGTTGGAGATATAATATGGGAAAACTACAAAATAAGAGTTGAAATAAGGTGATAAATTGCTGACTACAATTTTATAATTGGGAACGCAGGAAAGGGAGACGTGAGGAAGTCCGAAAGGTTATAGAAGCATGATTCTTGGACATTTGATTTTGTTGTAATCTTTTTGTTTTTCTTTTTCCCCCCCTTTCGTTTATTGTTTGTATTGTATTTTATGTGTTTGATGATTTATTGTTAAAAACTTTAATAAATATCTTTATTAAAAAAAAACAAGAACGGGAGATGTGAGGAAGTCCAGAAAATAAGCTAATTGAAGATGAGAAATTAAGAAAGAGGGAATTTTTGTTTTTTGTTATTATATGTTTTTATCTTTTTTCCCCCTTTTTTGATGTGTTTAATGTTTGTGTTTTTGTATTGTATTGTTTTTTTGTGATTTTGTACTTTCTTTGTCTTTTATTGTGGAAACTTAATAAAATATTTATAAAAAAAAAAGAAGGTCGACGGTTCGATTCCCCACGACGGGGTCAGTTCCCATTGCTCGGTCCCTGCTCCTGCCAACCTAGCAGTTCGAAAGCACGTCAAAGTGCAAGTAGATAAATAGGTACCACTCCGGCAGGAAGGTAAACGGCGTTTCCGTGCGCTGCTCTCCTTTGCAAGAAGTGGCTTAGTCATGCTGGCCACATGACCTGGAAGCTGTACGCCTGCTCCCTCAGCCAATAAAGCGAGATGAGCGCCTCAACCCCAGAGTCGGCCACGACTGGACCTAATGGTCAGGGGTCCCTTTAGTTTTTTAAGCCTGTCCTGATTGGCATGCTGATCACAGACTCTGTCCAAACAACCCCTTGGAACGCAACAGGGCTTCCTATTTTTACTGCTATCAGTGGGATCAGTCTAACCACGAAGCCACTGATCAACCAGAGTTTCCTGTTTTGACCAAGCACAGTTTGAAGTTAGCTTAATATCCCAGCTTGTTCCAAAGCTGGCAGCCGTAGTTTCCTGGTTTGGGCAAAATGGAAAGTTTGTTCGTTATGGCTCATAAGAGACTGCCTGGTTTCATCACGGTTCACCCTCAGGGCCGGCCAAATCATGAGGTAAGCTGGGACCATTAGGTCAGGAGGCAGATGCAGGGAGAGATGGGACCAGCACGTTCCCAGCTCCCCTGTTTGTTAGCCTTGCTGCCAGTGCAGGACCACAGCTGGTAGATTCGTGCAACTACCCATGCAGAGTCCTTCTCTTTTCCCCTCTCTCACTAAAGGTTGGGTGGGGGTCCTTCCTGGAGTGATGCATTCTGTTTGTGGGGGCCAGGAGACTGTGGTGGCGGCAGCTAGAGTTTTTTGTTTTGAACTTGGGTCAACTTAGGTTTTATCGTAATGTACCAAATGTACATTAGTACAGCAATGTACTAAAAACTGTTCCTATTTGTAACCCAACTTTTCAGGCTGTGATTCAGTCATCTGAACATGGACATTATCTTAATAAATCTTGGAACAATCTTGCAAGGTAGGCCAGTGTTATTCTATTTGCACTGCACATGGCAGTGGTGAGGCTGCAAGACGTGCCAAGATTTTTATCTCAGTGGGGAGAAAAGAGCATTTTGGAAATGGAGGCAATTTAGAGGAGGAAAACAGGGGTTGGTGGAAGGACATCTCTTCTGACGTAGCTTCGGCTCTGATGAAATTCAGAGTCCCCTGCAGCTGTTTAGGTAAAGTAAGAAAAGAAGGAGATATGATCACAAAACTCCCATGTATAAGAAAGTTTGGTCTAGCAAGCCTGGTGGAATAAGTCCCACGATTGGAATGTAATAATGGAGGGATACAATCTATTTCAGAGAAACAGACCAGACAAGAAAGGAGGAGGAGTGGCGTTATATGTCAGGGATGTGTATACCTGTGAAGAGATCCAAGATTTAGAACCTCAAAGCCAAAGTGAGAGCATTTGGGTCAAAATTAAGGGAGAGAAGAATAACAGAGACCTCATTGTGGGAGTTTACTATAGATCCCCAAGCCAAACGGAGGACATAGATGATAGCTTCCTGGAACAGATGGCCAAGCATGCAAAAGGAAGGGAGATAGTAGTAATGGGGGACTTCAATTACCCGGATATTTGTTGGATGTCAAACTCAGCCAAGAGCATAAGGTCAAACAGATTCCCCACTGGCCTTGCAGACAACTTCATTGTCCAGAAAGTGGGAGAAGCAACAAGAGGAACAGCCAATTTAGATCTGGTCCTAACCAATGTTGATGGCCTGGTTAGTGGGGTAGAAGTGGAAGGATCATTAGGCGTGAGTGATCATGCTCTTCTGAAGTTTAGTATACAGCGGAAAGGAGCAGCCAAGCATACTAGGACTCAATTTCTTGACTTTAAGAAAGCCGACTTCATAAAACTTAGGGAAGTGCTGGGTGAGATCCCATGGACAGTAATACTAAAAGGAAAGGGAGTTCATGATGGCTGGGAGTTTGTTAAGAGGGAGATAGTAAAAGCACAACTTCAGGCAATACCAATGAGACGGAAAAATGGAAGGTGCCTAAGGAAGCCATGGTGGCTATCTAAAGAACTTTTACAACTGAATTAAGATTAAAAAAGATGTGTACAAAAAATGGAAAAGGGGGGAAACCACCAAAGAGGAATTCAAACAAATAGCCAGCACATGTAGGCACAAAGTCAGAAAAGCTAAAGCACAGAATGAACTCAGGCTTGCTAGAGAGGTTAAAAGCAACAAAAAAGGCTTTTATGGGTATGTCCGTAGCAAAAGGAAGAACAAAGAAACAGTGGGGTCACTCAGAGGAGAAGATGGTGAAATGCAAACAGGGGACACAGAAAGGGCTGAACTCCTCAATGCCTTCTTTGCCTCAGTCTTCTCCGATAAAGAAAACAATGCCCGACCTGAAGAATTTGGAGCAAATGATTCAGCAGAGGAAACACCGCCCAGAATAACTAAGGAGATAGTACAAGAATACTTGGCTAGTTTAGATGTATTCAAGTCTCCAGGGCCAGATGAACTGCATCCGAGAGTATTAATTAATTAATTAATTAATTAATTTTTATAATGAATGATTTTAGAATGTTGTTTATGTTGTACTTTTGTACTGTTTTATTGTTGTTAGCCGCCCTGAGCCCGGCTTCGGCTGGGGAGGGCGGGATATAAATAAAATTTATTATTATTATTATTATTATTATTAAAAGAACTGGCAGATGTGATCTCAGAACCACTGGCAGTCATCTTTGAGAATTCCTGGAGAACAGGCAAAGTCCCAGCAGACTGGAGGAGGGCAAATGTTGTCCCTATTTTCAAAAAGGGGAAAAGAGAGGACCCAAATAATTACTGCCCAGTCAGTCTGACATCAATACCAGGGAAGATTCTGGAGCAGATCATTAAGCAAACAGTCTGTGAGCACCTAGAAAGGAATGCTGTGATCACCAATAGTCAGCATGGATTTCTGAAAAATAAGTAATGTCAGACTAACCTGATCTCGTTTTTTGACAGAATTACAAGCCTGGTAGATGACGGGAACGCAGTGGATGTAGCCTACCTTGATTTCAGCAAGGCATTTGACAAGGTGCCCCATGATATTCTTGTAAAGAAGCTGGTAAAATGCAGTCTTCACTATGCTACCACTCAGTGGATTTGTAACTGGCTGACTGACCGAACTCAAAGGGTGCTCATCAATGGTTCCTCTTCATCCTGGAGAAGAGTGACTAGTGGGGTGCCACAGGGTTCTGTCTTGGGCCCGGTCTTATTCAACATCTTTATC